ATAGATATCAACTTTCAATAGATACGTTATGAATAACACGGCCATTTTAAAGAAATTAACATCTGCAGATTATTATTCATTTAAGTTACGATTAACGATAACATCGATAAGCTATCGATAGGTAAGGTACTTACGTGCAGCTCTAAAAATAAATTAATTTGTCAACTTTGTTTATGAAAAAAAACACCTGAAAATAATTTTACTAGGTTTAGTAGGTAACCATTACCTACAATAGAGAAATATTGACAAATGAGTGTAGGACTAAATAAATTGTTCATACGACACGTACTAAGCAGTTATCAATATGGGCCGTATTTTTTTATTCACTGGATAGTGTTAAAGTAGCGTAGCCTCGTGTTTGTTGAAAGAGCAGCATTCATTGAGTGTAAAATGTAGTAGCATGAACCTTTTTTCATATCATCCATCAAAGAATTCCCAAGAATAAGTTCTATCTAGCATAATGAAAGGTGTGTTAAACTCGCATATTTATGCACCGTGGCAAAGCTCACCGCCAGGTTCTTGCATAGCTCTCCCGTGAATCACTGGGTTGTGTGAAGGTGCGCGACTTTTGCATATTAATACACATCCAAATGCGTCGTGTCGTGGTCGGCGTCGTCTGCGCTATTTACGTATGAACGCTATTCCGAGCCGAGCCAGACGCCCGCCGCGGCGCCGGATCATGCATAGCGAACTCCTTAACACGCACTTCACCTTTATCCCAAAAAAACGCGCCTTTGATCTAACAAAACAAAAACTAACCCGGTTTGGTTTACCCGCTGTGATTGCTCGTGTATTTGCTTCAGAATGCTCGCTAATAATAACATTTATTTAGAATGTTCGATCAGAATTTTGATGCGTTCTAAATTGTTTCTAATTTTAAATAAGCTCCCGACTACGACGACGCCGTTCATGCTTTAGACTAGATACTAAATTTTCTATGACACAGAATATCAAAATAATTATGTAATATAGACCAATAAACAAAGGTATTCAAAGAAAACTAGAGATTACCCATAAGGTAAGGTTTCAAACCAATTTATTTGAGTACCATGATATTACAAAATGACACTGCTTTACAAACTAACCTACGTACAACGTAACAATATCAATTACTTACTTGACATAACTAACACGCGTTTGGAAAACCGACGACTAGCGGATATTGTATCGGGCAAGAGAAAGTTCAGAAATAAGAAAATTGTGTAAGGCACAATTTAACAGGCCTCGTATTTCAAGGAAACAATGAAATGATACCTTACAATATCATTCTGCGCTTTAAGTAGTTTCTAATACTTTTGATATTTTAGTATAAACAGAGAACTCGTGTTACAAAATAAGTTAAAAATTGACCAACCATTTCACAAAATTTTTACATAAATCAAATAAGTTTTTAGTATACCCATCTCTATACTACGTCAGCTTGTCGTCGATTTACCGAGGTGTATAGAGGGCGCTTACACGTTATTCCGACGATAGGCAGTGTATACAAAGGCCATAGTTCTTACTACTCGTTAACGATGAACAATGGTGCGGTATCACCTTAATAAGAACAACGTTTATTCAGACACAATCTTCATGACTTGCTTCACACCAAGTAGCTGTTGTAACCATTACTTACATGTCAACAATTCTTCAATGTCTTCCAAATACAATCAATTTTTACTACACTGATACATACCTACTCAAAAATAATCCTTAATGGATAATACCTTCTTACAGTATTTTATCTTCACAAATAACTTTAACCAAAGACGTTGAAAAAAGGCGGACATAGTCTCTTGTAACAACGATTGTGGCACCTGGCTACTATAGACTTACACGCAGAATACACACACATTGACACGAAGGACATCTGTCGCGTGACATGACCCGTCTTTACACTTCATACATTACGGTGTTGCAAGGACATATTAATTAATTATTATGTTGCAAAGACACTCACACGTAAATACCACTGACATTTTGGTTTCTAATTGACATTACATCCGCCATTTTTTCAACGTCCTTGATTCTAACAGTGAAATTAAGTATTTACTTTCTGAACGTCATAAGTTGGTGCAAAGCAAGTCATGACTGCTGTAATATCAGATCATCTTAAATCACTAAAACTTCCATACATTCTATATTACGTCGAGAAGGCATGTAAATTACATTATGACAGTTACATCAGCCTTCTCTGTATTAACCACAGCCTACAAAAACTATACAGATGGAAAATAAATTAATAAATAAACCTATTAGCAAATAACTCGTTACATTTCATTGCACAAAGTTTACTATATTGTTGTTACATGTCCAATTGTCCATGCACTATTTTATTTTTAAAATGTTTTAGTTAATTTTCATTAAATACAAAATCATTTTCATGTACTTGTTAAACATAATAAAAAGTACCTTATTATTTAATAACTATAAAATTGGGGCAAAGACATTTTTGTTCCTGTTTTTTACCATAACTATTATAATTGGAACACAGAAAGGGATATATATCAGGACTATCTGTAAAAATGTTTAATAACTTAGAAGGAAGAACAATTTCAAGGAAAATGTGTTTCAAATGAGAATACGACTGATTTTTCGACATATCACGACTTCTATCGATTAATATTTCATGTAGATAAATAAGGTTATAACTTTTAATGAATGAGTTTAAACATCAATTTATGTGTATTTTTAATACTTTTTCTTGTAATCTGAACCTATTTTGTTATAGTGCAATTTCACAGGTTGAAATCGTACCTATTCTTATTAGAAACATACTGTAGAGGTATTTCATTGAGCTTAGAGATGACAAGTACAATGTCCATGTGTCCGTTAAAATATTTTAAATAGGAGGCGCCAAAGAACCAAAATGGATTTTTAAAAGTGTCACTGGATCACATTGTACCAGTTCGTAGAGTTAAAATTTATTGTGATGTAAATTAAATGAAAAAAGAAAACTGCAGCAATAGGGTAGCCTATTGCTGCAGTTTTTTTTATTAATTTAATTTATATAATTCGTAACGTCCGATGGACACTTTCAGTTTGATTTCCACAAAAGATGGTACTTCACAATTCCACACTCAATAACCTAAGCTCCTTTTTTAAAGACGGTTGATTATTTTTGTTTAATTAATTAACGCCTGAATACAGAAAGGCCACTCAATTCTAAGCTGTACTTAAATATCGTGCCATCTCTTTCATTTTAAAAAGAATTTGTAGTGACTGAACTATACTTAAGCGCGACTGAAAATTGAGTAACGCTTGAGTATTTCGACATATATTATTTAATACATAAGTAGTCAAGCGAAAAACAATTATTGCACATTTTTTGTTGATTCAAAATCCAGAAATATTTTAGCAACATGATACATTAAATAAAATTTATAAATCGATAGCACTTTATACATAAACTTCATTTTCATTTTACCGATTAATTAGTACCAACATTTATTTTAAAATTTTAGCTAATATTATTATTAGAACAACATAATTACAATAGTAGTTAAACTACGAATTTTATAATTATCCTGACAATAAATAACAATTTATTTTTTTCCTTGAGCTGTAATTATTGTTACCAATTGGATACATTTTATTATAGATAAGACTAGCTGTTGCCCGCGACTTTACCCGCGTAGAATATAAATTTTAGGAAATTACTTTCTTTTTGTTTAAATTTTCCAAAATAAAAGTAGCTTATGTTACTCCTTAGAACATTAGCCGGTCAAAAACGGTCCAGCTATTCCATAGATTAGCCAGTACAAACAGACAGACATACAGACAAAAAAATAATATATTTTAGTCTGGGTATCGTATGTATATTCATATGCATAAAGTAAAAAGCGGTTATTTTAATATTACAAACAGACAATCCAACTTTATTTATCAGTATAGATGCATGCATAGTAAAGCTAGCTTTGGACAAATTGCCATATTTTTTATTATTATTATTTAAGTTTAATAGGATACACTGGGAAGAGCTTAAGCCACTATTACATTTTTATAGTTTTAAGATTCACCACCTCACCACAAAAAATATATTCTTTCTTTATACTTCGAATTAAGTTTATAAAACCACATATTTAAGCCTTTGATTGCCAATAGAAGACTGGCGAAAGCAAATCCTCTGCCAATGGGACCCGTATGATATTTAAAGTGTAATAGACATTTAACTTGTGTAATCAACATTAAAATTAATTTCATGGTCATACACTGGTATAACTTTTGAACACCAATATTTATAGAACATTTTTGTAGCAAGAAAGTTCGTATGAAGCATTGTTTTTGGTTTTATTTTAACGATTTTATATTAAAAAAACTACCGAATTACTTTACTGTTTTTTATTTTTATAATTATTGTGATTTTTTTGTGTTTATTAATTTTGATCGTTACTCAAAATGTAGGCCCAATGTTATAGGATTAGGGTATTTATTTACAACAGGCCAAATATTTTGTATCGTTAAACTCTAATGAGCTAGTAACCCATAACTAATTTATTATTTAGTTGCAACTGCAGTTGAGAGTGAATAGTACCGTGTATTAATTGCACTTCGTTCGATCTGAAATACAATAAACATAATATTTTAGTTATAATACTTACATATTAATATAAGTACGAAAATAAATATGATAAAGTAAATAGAAACGTGTAGGAGGGAATTTAAACAGTATTTTTATTAGTAAATTTATGTAACTCACGATAAGACATAAAATCCTAATTAGGTGAGTTTTTTAAACCCTTAGAGCGCCACGTCAGTCACCGGTGCCGGTTTGACTTTCACCATTTCAAACTTAGCAGTTACAGTGTTATAATATACATATAATATACTAGCTGACCCGACAAACTTCGAATTCGACCAACGATTTCATGACCAAAATTAGCCAAATCGGTTCAGTCGCTCTCGAGTTTTAGCAAGACTAACGAATGGAAATTCAGTTTTATTTATATACATAGATACAAAAACTATGATTGTTATTCGAGTATGAGATAGAGTAGTGAGAGTACCTACCTGTATTGTCAGGCGAGGTATGCCCGCACGAGTGCCCGCACGGGCGCGCGACACAGCGGGCAGGCGCCCAGCGCCGCCCCGCACCGCGCGCACGACACCAGGTGCCCGCACGGCAGGAACACCACGCTCACCTGCACACCGGAATAACGTCATGGAACAACTTCACTTCTATGTACCGTCTATCTAATTCATTTTTTATGGGCTAATGCCGGAATACTGAAACGTTACTCAATTTTAAGTCGTGCTTAAATATCGTGCCATCTCTGTCATTTTACAAAGAATTTGATGGGACAGAACTATACTTAAGCGTGACTTAAAATTGAGTAACGTTTCAGTATTCGGGCATAAGTCTGTAAACGAGCTGACGGATCACCTGATGGTAAGCAATCGGCGTCGCCCATGGACACTCTGAACACCAGAGGCGTTACAAGTGCGTACCGGCCTTTTAGAGATTAGGAATTTGTGAATTGTTGGGGATTCAGATTAAACGACGAAACGCAAGCGTTGCTTCACGTCGGTTTTCTGCGAGGCCGTAGTATCTCTCCCACACTTAATCGGTACACAAGTAAGAATATAAAGACCGATGTTATACAGATACAATAGTAATTGTTATACTAAATTGTATGTTTTTAATGAAACTTGATCTCTTGTAACTATTGGTCGGTTAAGTAGCCAACCAATGGTAACTGTCTCTGTACTGAATCAATGTTTATTCTCTTATACTTGGATAATAAATAGCTGTGTTAAAATTTATAGAACAGTATAATTTTTGACATATACTTGTAAGTATTATAGAAAAAACTTGAATATCGTTGGAAAACTAATACAAATACTAGTATGAATATTTGCTAACGTCATAATGAGTCAGACACTACCATCTGTGATGTGTCAACCAGCTATATTCATACATTTTCTTGTCGTATCATGCCATAGAACAAAAAATAAACAAAGTTATACTACCCTTTGTCCTCATGACTAATCTCGTATTTAAAGACAAAGTAATGGGTTTTGGAGTCAGACTATATATTTAATTACGAAGACAGTATCAGTATATTCTATGAGAATATAACTTCATTATTTAAATAAAATATAATAATATTATTTCCCATCGTCTTGTTAAACAAAAAAATTAAAAATAACGACATGTTTATTTGTTTGTATTATAACTTTCGTGAGACATACTAAATAAGCAGCGCGACAGTCGCCGCGTCGCGGGTCGCGAAATGATGCTCACGAACATGAGCCTCTAGCACGGCTTGAAACTAGTCGAGTTCCTCGTCAAATTATTACGTGAGTAAGCCGAAAACATAATAATTTATGTTTATTTGTTGTTATTACAGTTTCTAGATTTATGAGAGATTTGAGAGTTTAGTATTAGTCTGTTTTATGTCTACCGTGATCGACATGTTTATGACGTTCGGTGTTGTGCGCTCTAATTGGCCGGCTCCAGTAAACCAACCAGTCGAGCGCCGAACGCTCGAAACTATTACGATACGAATGCGATAGTTATTCGTGCTTGGCACACTGCTCCAATGAATCGACCAATCAGAGGGTTAACGTGATAACGTTTCGATCTGGTTAAAGGTAAAACAAATTCGTACTAGGCCCTCAGGTGGTATAGACTAAGTGAAAAATTATATTCAATTGAAACCTAACCAAAAGGGAGAAAGAAAGAAAAAAGAAAATACAAATAGAACATACCTCACAATCCATGCACACTTTACATAATCTAGCTTCTTTCAGCTGTCTATTCTCTTCTTCTAGCGACAATTTCTTCGTCTCCTGCGCAGGCGACTCTTGCGCATTGTCATTATCAATTTTAACTTCATTTTTAGGTTTAGTTGCTGTATTACTATTATCTACGTCCCTTGCAGGTGACCGTCTGGCTTGGTGGCTAGTGCTGTAAGGCACATCACGATTTATAACGTCATTTTCTGAATCATCATCGTCATCGTCATCAGGGGTCATTGACCGAGCTGGACTGCTACTTTGATCGCTTCCATACGGACGGGTTAGTAAGGCAACGTGTTGAGATGGAATCCTGAAATGTTAATAATATAAGTTTAGTACATCCTTGTAAAGTGAAAATGAGAGACAGATTAAATGATGAAAAACGAAATCTATGTTTTTTTGTGATATCGCTGAGATTGTGACAAATGGGAAATATTAGTTTGATAACTCTAAACTGTTATGATTTAACACGTTTTCTGTAAACAATAATGGGGCGACACTTAAAAAAAATGTTTTATGAATATCGTAATTTAGACACTGCAATGTTTTTTGTTCTGTCCTCTATTCTTTTAAGTTTATTATTAGTATTTTGTTTATGAAGTATCTGTATTTTTATTTTTTATAATGTTTGTTTTGTGTGCTAATTGCCACATGAATGTTTTTTCTTACTTTCTTCTAAAAAGAACAAATTTTAAACTCGATATTGAAATACTGACCCAGATCTTGGTGCAAATTCTCTGAAGGTTTCAGAGAGTATGTCCCTAGCGAGTCGACTCTGTGGCGTCATAGACCACGGCTCCTCATTGAGCTGGTCGTCTAGGACTGCGTCTATCAACGCCTCTGATGATGTGAAAGGTGTTCCTGGAAACCAACATAATCAATATATTTATACAAATATGTGCACTTTTGCTTATTTTTTGGCCGACTGACTGCCTCGTTGGCCGAGTGGTCGCAAGTGCGACTGCCGGGCAAGGGGTCTCGGGTTCGAATCCCGGGTCGTGTAATGTATCACTGTCTGTAATGTATCGGAGTCTGGAATTGTGCCCGGTACATGGCAACAGGCTCACCCCCTATTACATGGGACTCATAACATAAATAGTGAAAAGTGGGTGTTACATTGTACAGTGGCATAATGTGCACCTCTGCCTACTCCTTCGGGGATAAAAGGCGTGATGTTATGTTATGTTGTCCCACGTAATAGTCGCCTATAGAATAATAATTTCAGACTCCGTGCATTGCTAGATTTTTAACGAAAACCTAAAAAATCTTCAGTAAAACATTGCTTGGCCCCTAAAAATCCAACACATTACTAGGAAGTTGTACTTTTTATTAATAACTTATGATTTTCCTGTTCATATTAAAGTGAATTTGTTGTTTATAATTAGTTTGAAGGTTATACTATTATTTACACATAGTACATAGAGCAGCAGGGATGGCCAACTTGATTAGACATAAGATATACTTTTTATAACTACTTAAGTACTTACTAACTAACGAAACCCTGTGCGATCTATCACATACATACTTCTTGAAATCTTAAATGAAACAACATATTATTTAGTACATACCTAATCATAAATAATTTTTATTGAAGTCTTAGGAGTATCTTTCTTATCTGTATCTTAATGTGAGCATTTCGTCGCAGTATCTTCCACTAGTTTTGCATAATCGTGTTTGTATGGAAATTGCCAACCTTGGACGATTGGACTAATGGTCGCGAGCGACCTGTTGGTCACCCCTGACATAGAGGAATAACTATGGCAAAATAGAGTATTATTTATTGACGGGCCTTATATGTGTCATTTCCCGTACATTATTAGAAGTTTTTTAAACTTCGAATAATCTACGGGAAATATCACTACCGATTTTGGATGCATCCGACAACTTAAAATGAAACAGTTTGTGTTCTTTAATGTTCTGATGTAGTCAGGGTACTAAAAATAACCGAGTATGGTGATTAATAAGTGACCTCTTTGAGGAAAACGATGTCAGGACCTGTTTTAATTTGAATAACTTGCACCTGACTTGTCGTTTTAACCTACATTGTTTTTACTGCTGTCATTAAGCGGTCGAAATGCAACGTATTTGCCGTGGTGCGTCTCGAGAACTACATATTTTGTTTATTTTAAGTTCTAAGTCTATTACAATATGAATAGAATTTATATTTGAAGTCTTTTGACTAGAAACACCATCTTTAGGGACATAATTTATCTAATACTGTTAATATAAAGACATAAGATTGGTTTGTTTGTACCGAATCAGCTCGAAAATTACTAGTCCGATTGAAAATTCGTTTCATCAAAGGAAAGCTTAGGTTTCAGAATGTAATATACTTTTTAACCCAATAATCTAATGATACCTTTACACTCTCGCGCGAGGGGACACGAGGTTGAGGTACTACAAATAGAACTCTTTTAGAATAACGACAATGTATCTCGGCCTCGTCTCGACTCGCGCGAGAGTGTAAATGTAGCATTACAATAAAATTCCACGCGGGCGAAGCTGCAGACACAATGATTAACAGTTTACCAGATAAAATCTACATAAACAAAAAAAGTGTTTAGCGAACATACCAACAGTTCGTAATCTATTCGTTATCGCTCGTCGCACGCGCGCCGCGTCTAAGCCAGCTCCCAACGCCGCCGCCGCCATTGTACTTTCCATACATTCTTCTACCTGTAATGAAAGATTTGCTTCATCTAAAGGAATAAATTTCATTGAGAATTTTTCTTTAATTAATTTTAAACCTTATCCAGTTTAAAATAAGGTTGTAAATCTATTTTATAGACAATTCGACATTTCGCTAGACAGTTCGTCTATTGAGTAAGGTTTAGTCTTAATTGATTCTATCAATGTATACCATACCATACAACTCTTAGTACAGTACACAAACACATTGAAAACAAACACAGTTCTAGTTTAAAATCTCGTATTATCTTGTCATTTTTATCGTACATATCAGATATCATAGTGAAATAGCAAACAATAAAGAAACCAGATTTTGTTCCACTTTTGTCAGTCATTTATTGATGACATTATTTCTTTTTTTGATACTGATTTCATCAGGTTGTTGACATGACACGCCTTTTGTTCAACAGTGACTTTATTCACTGATTATAATATTATCAGAACAATTGTAATGGGATGAGAGGTATAATATTTTCAATATTGTTTGCCTTACCTGACTTTCTGTGATAGGAAAGTTTTCACCGTTTCGTCGTCTCGCATTGCGACCAGCTTCAGAAAACTGAAAACGAAAGAAATGAAAATTAACATTTGCAATGTTAAATCTTTTTATTTTTACTAAATTTTTTTGAGGCGGTAAATCATCCAATGACTTCTCCCGCCATTGGTAAGACGAGAGGGAGTGTCAAACTCTTACTAACTAAAAAACATCCCATATAGAGAAGGAGTAGGCTCTTTGAGCCGGAGCCCCGGTAACCCGTTAGGCTTTTTGCGGCTTTATTTTTACAAATACACTCAGAATATAGGTGTTCCTGTTTCTACTTTTCAGGTAGCTTATAAATAATTTTGACTCTATACATAAAATTATTTGGCTTTGTTTGAACTTTATGGCTATGGTACATACCAGATGACCTGATTAGCAACGAATAAAGTTACTATCATACGATACAACAACTAAAATAGAATAATACTTACGCTAACAGTTCTCTGTACAGACGAGCGGTTACGGCAGGTGTCGACAAATTCCTGTCCTTTTACGAGTAGTACGTATCCGCAGTGAGGGAACCAGTGCGCATGCTCCGACCACGGAGTGTCACCTGCCTCCCACTTGCCTAGACCACCGTCGCAGTAGAAACAGCGCACCTGGAACATACAATTAGATTCTATAATCTACATATATACTTAAAACTAGTTTGCCAAATTCGTAAGTGCAAAACTCGTAAATTTTTGAAACAATTTGGACTTTTAGAGCAAAGTACTGATCGTGGTGAATATGGCAATCAATCGTAAAACTTATGGCCACTCATTATGTAAGATATGGTAATCCGCGTGAGGAAAGGTTCCACTTTTAAGCATAGCGTTTTGACACTAAGGAACATAATATGTGTGTTGACTAAAAATCGTTAAAATAACCCAGTACCTCTTATCATCACTTCATATCCTAAAACAGTCGCTATGTAAGCTTTGATCTTTATAACTACGCAACGGATTTTAATGCATGCATATTGCACCCGTGCGAAGCAGGGGCGGGTCGCTAGTTTTTCAATTATATTAAACGGTATGTGAAATATTTGAACATTAGCCCATACATAACATTGAACACATAACACATTAGTGTATTTTCATAAGTGATAAAGCCATTAGTTTCCTAATTGTCATTCAACTTGTGAAATACACCATATTTATAAGTTTATCTTTACTTACTTGCTCACAACAAGAAGTTGTTCAAGGCATACTACGTACAATAGGCATATAACCTTCAACGTTTTTCGAGTATCCACTACGACTGTATGATCAATTAGCTAGCTTCCATTTCAGTGTCAAGTTTGTCAAATAATAATATGTATTATGTTGACAGTATTAACAATACCTATATTAAAATACACTACAATATGTGTTCGTAATCGATAGTTAAATAAACAGAAACTTATTTTGAATACAAATTTACTGAATATAATTTATAAATGTTGATGGAATGCATCGCAGGCGGGGACCAACAGAGGCTTATTTATAGTCATTTCGGTTGTGCACCATTTAGCAGAATTTTCGTTGGTGGCGGTCAAGGTGGTCCCCGCCTGCGATGCTTTCCATCAACATTTATAAATTATATTCAGTAAATTTGTATTCAAAATAAGTTTCTGTTTATTTAACTATCGATTACGAACACATATTGTAGTGTATTTTAATATAGGTATTGTTTAAACGGTATTACATAATTAGTTTTTAGCATTTGATTGATCAATATTATTGTGGGGCTTGTTTTACTCTTTTTTTAGTGTGCAGTCGGGTATTTTGTTTTTTTAATAATAATTTTTTTATTTATAACTTTTTAGCTGTTTTTATTTAACGAAAATGTTGTAGATGTAGAAGACTATGTATATGTAAGTACCATTTTAAATTATTTCGACGACATTTGGCTTTAGATTACGAGTGATGTTACTCCGCAACATAAATTTACCGCCAATCTGGGCTGTTGGTAGTGAAGAAGAAAAAGAATTAGGTGAGTCATTACTGCTGAAGATCCCGCAAACGTTTAAGTTCAGTTAAAGAACATTCGTCGTGGGGCCGGTCCAACAGCTTTTTTGGGTCAAGTGTTTTTATTTATTTCTTAAAATGATCTGATACCTATTGCCGAAAAAATCAGTACTAATGGAGAAGTACTTAATAATAATAAAAAAAAAGTTGAACTATAACTAAAAAAAAATACAAAAAGAATAAGTGAGGATTGTTTAAAAGTATGTTACTTAAACTAACCAAAAATATCTACCTACCTAGTTATTTTATTAATAATTATTATTATATTATTAATTAATATGAAGAATTTAAGAAAGAACCAAAAAAAAGAACGGAAGAACGAGTTAATTAATTAGAAAGAACGAATAAATTTAAAGAGAGAAACACGAAAGAAAAAAAAAAGAACGAGTTATTTATACTTTATAAGTTTCGCGTCAGACGACGAAGTATCGAAAAAATCGCTATTTAGAGACGACCGTCAACGACGTGTGCCCTCATGCGTGTGCCCGCAATCGGGCTGTATACTCGAGCATATCCCCCTCCGCACCGCGCCGCGCGCCGCATGCCAGGCCACGCCCTATCTTTTTGCTTGCTAACGCATGAGTTGCTTTGCGTTGACGCAGAATTAACATGTTCCCGTGGGAATTTTGAGAAAAAACGTATCCTATATTAATTACTCCCGTGATTGAAATGAATCTAATGATACCGCATACATATTTTTTTAAAGGGAAATTTAGAAAAATATTATTATGTCTTTATCCCGTGGGACTTTTAGGATAAAATGTATCCTATGACACTCCCGTAATCAAGACAAATCTAACGATACCTCATACATCAAAATCCATCAAGCCGTTTAGGCTACAGGTGGTCACAAAGGAAAAGACATACATACATACTTACATACACTCGAAAAACATTACCCTCCTTCTTTGGCAGTCGGGTAATAAAAAAAGAATCAAATAAATGTAGATGGTTATGCAATGATAGGAAGCATTACAGTACACAAAATAATTCGTAGATGGTCTCCGTGTTCACATTTTGTATGAAGAATAATTGTTCGATATTTATCGCAGTACCTAAGTCAGTTATCTAGGGATTTTACGCTTAATGTAGATTCCCTTTTCCACAAAAATGTATCCTCGAAAACTGTATACAAGGAATCTTCTATAAAACACAAGGGGAATTCCGGTAAATTGACAGAATAAAGGTTATTCGTGTTTATAATGGTGTAGTGATACAGGTTGTTAAAATAAACTAGGTAGGAAAGAAAAGAAAGAGGCTATATGATTCTCATTCTAAATAATAGATGATTTTTATAAGATGATAGATTATTTATAAGCAAGGGAACTATCATGGATTTCTTACGTTCAATGAACAGTTAAGAATACTATCAAACATGTAACAAGGATGTTGACATTTCAGAAACATAATAAAAATAAATATCAGACATTACCTGATCATCAGTACCCGTGTGGAAGAAGCCAGCCTCAGCGAGTGTCCGCGGCGCTTGTTGCCTGTCCGCGGGCCATCGCTCGAAGCTCGCGAGGCGCGCCGCCAGCGACGCGTACTGCGGGTGGCGAGCTCCACCGCCCACCACGCCCAGGTTACGCCATGTACCACCCTGGCTTAGTACACGCTCGTTGTGAGCTGCACCTGACCTGAAAACATAGAAAATAGAAATCTATAAACCTATTAATATTATAAATGCGAACGTTTCTGTTTGTTCTTTCTTCACGTCAGAACGGTTGAAGGAACAGAAAGGAGAATGGCAGGTTTGTATGGAAGTTTTGTACCGCTATAAAATTTTGTATTAGTCATTGTTTTAACCAAGTGAATAGTCTGAACGATAAATATTTTTATTATGAAGTTTAGAAAAAAAATACATATTTTTAGAACTTGGGGTTCAAAAGTTATTTCACTTTGAAAATGTGCAAAAGGTATGTTAAGGTGGTACCACACTTGACATTGCGTAGTCGCTTCATTTGTCCAAATATTTGTAGACCACGTACAAATGGCGTCCAAATAGTATCTCTATATATAATGGCGTGCAAATATATAGCAAACAAAGAAGAATAAATCCTCCAAATATGTTCTTTTTTGGCCGAACACAACAAATACGCAACGTCAAGTGTAGAGCCACCGTAAGCAAAATATCTATTACAAATGACAGATGACAGTTAACTGAAAAATGTCAATGTGCTCTCATGTGGTTGTTTATTTACAAAAAACAAAAATCTAAAAATACTGCTCGCTACTCAAGTGACTATTACACTTTGTATTATTAGAAAGAAAGAAAGAAAGAAAAACCATTTATTTTGCTACGACACACAACAAGAATTTAGAAACCCAAAAAATAACCTATGGTGCGTCGCAGCGCAAAAGGCAATTAGGAATGATCCTGTTAATTCAGCAAGCATGATGCACCTATAGAGTTTTAAAGAGTATGCCTCACAATCTTTTTCATTTCTTAGGTGCCTACGAAAATGCAAATTCATAATGTAAGCGACTGTCATTGGGTAGAAGGCCTACATTTAGCAGTGGAAGTCTTGTGGCGGATATGATAAAACTAATGTCTCACTTCACCTTGAATCTTGCAGGTAGATAGTCTCAAGGGTCTCAAGTTAATTCGATTTAAACTTAGCTTAGCTCTTTGAGAAAGTATTTCTTCTGAAAACTGGTTGCTTAGCACGCATGTAAGGATTAATTTCTAATAAGTAAGTCAAATTAGTAGAATCATCAACATTTTCATCATTAAGTCTATAAGTGGCCACTGCTGACCGAAGCCTCTTCTCGCATGGAGGTTTGAGCATTAATCACCATACTAGCTCAATGTGGGTTGGTAATTCAAACTTATAATAAGAAATTATAAGCCCATGTTTCCTCACAATGTTTTCCTTCACCATTCGTCAGCGGTGTCTTTGTACTTTCTTAGATTATTGAATATACCAATAACTCGGAAAAAAGACACATTGGACAAAAGGTACTTTGCCGTTGGTAGGTTTCGAACCCGCACTCTCATGCATGAGAAGCGGGCTTCTTAAACCTCTGGGCCACCACATTACAACTAAAGAAAATGTAAAATGAAAATGAACATTTTTGGTATAAAACTAAAGCTATCTAAATTAAATATGGCATTTATTTTATAGATTGATTCTTAAAATCACTTTTATCAAGATGGAATATATAGTTACTAGGTTAAAATAAAACAAATGTATTATTTTGAAATACTTTTATTTCATTGTATTCAGGTTGTTTCTAGGAGTACTTCATCTAAAAAGAGAACAGGCCGTGTCATAGGTACAGCAGACATCAATTGCTGATATCTGTAAACAAGTAAGATAACTGTAAATAAAGTAAACAAAAGTACATTTTTTTCCTTTAGTTTTATATGTTATAATAATAAGTCTGATTCCCTATCTTAAAATGGAAAAGATAAAAATAAATATTTGATTACATTACTTCATTTTATAACATTTATTATAGTTATTCGTATAACACAGATCATAGGAGCTCAAACAGCATGCTAATTAATAAATTATAATTATAACATGAGTATAAACCTATTAGAAACCGCTTATATACTCCACATAGATACATAATTATGTAGGTACATTATATTGAGAATGCATACCTGTTGAAGCTTTGAGAGCCGAACAACATCATCCGGCCTCATCTGTTCTACAAATGGCAATGTTAAAGTGAGGCTTAGTCCATGTTTACATAATTCATTACTTCCTGATAGTGAACACTGTGAGGTGGTATGTCAGGTTGTGGTTTTATAGTTTCGACTCTTGTACGGTCTCTCAGTCAGTATGGAACATGATCTTCATCATGGGAAGTAAGCTAAAATAAGTAATATTATTAGAATATGATATTGACTTTAGATTACACTGTATATAGATAATAGTATGGTTAAATTATGCTTTATTACCTCTTGTGGCTGAATCCAATCAAATACTATATGAGCCAGTCTTTACTCCTGTTTGTTGGCGCCTTCAATTAAAACCCTGCGTCACCTTATCATTGCAATGAATCACCCATATACGACACAAACATGCCAGTGACTAATTTGTTTGCTGGACATACTTTCAGCAACATCCCGATACATTGCTAATTGCCAGCAAGCATTGCAAATATGGTCGGTAGGAGAGATCTAGAATAAAAAGAATAAAATGATACATTATGGGTAGATAACACTATGCGCCTTCTTTTATTCAGGAACATGGTGACTTTCGATATGTTATGGGTAAACTAGGTACTTACATCTCTAGGATAAGTCCACATTGGGATAATGTTGACCACGTCTAATCTTCACTCTCATTTTCTAGAGCATGCCGTCTCATGTGCGACAAACTCTGAATGCAATTAATACACTGTAAATTCATCATCGCGACAAATAACAACACACTGCACAAAATAATGTAAATAAGTGTCTTTTCGCAATTGTCACAACAATGATGCCAATAATACCAATTTGGGCTACGGAGGAACGGTTGCCAAACTCAACGTATCACCAGATGAATAAAATAACTTCAAATTCAACAAACACATCATAACATCGCATTTGAAACAAACAGCAATGCGCCAGTATTGACAAATTAATTGTCAATGTCATCAAGACAAATGCCAGTTCAACATTGCCATAATATTCAAGTTTGTTAAAATGTTAATTATCATTAATAATCCATGTAAACGTAGATTTAGATTGGATGTAGATTTTTATATTTACTTATAAAAATGTTTGAAATGGAAAGGAAAATATTTCATTGATAGATATTAAAATAAATGAGTTTATGAAATAGCGAAATTCAATATGCTCTGCTTCAATTTCATCTTTACGCATGGCAACTTTGTAAACGTCAATCGCGGTTCGTTTTACGTATAGTGGATTGCTTTTTATCATTATTGAATATCAGTTTTTCTAGGGTTTCCCAAGTTTTAAAAATCTATTAAATATACTAACATAACGTACTTAGGAGGTTCTATAATGACCCAATTTTTTAATGACAAATCTTTTTTTAGCGAAGCGGTACAAAATCTGCCGTTCTCCTTTGGAACAAACGCGGGTGAAGCCGCTGGCAGAGGCTAATTAGTTACAAATATAAATAGATCACTGTGATCCCAAAATGTCCGGCACTTGCAACTTCTTTGATGTTGCAATTGTCCATGTGCGGCGCTAATTGCTTACCATCAGGTGATGCGTCTTTCCGTTTACCGTCATATAGGTACTTGTTTTAGCATTGATTGTTAATATCAATTCTTAGTTTGATTGAGATATTTTGTAAGATAGAAAATACCTATTTACTGTTTGAAGTATAATTAAATTATGCGTGACAAGCAGTTCGGCGATCGGTGGTAGGCTACTGAACTTAAAGATTCTGAGACGCATCCCTCGGTATTAACCACCGCAGCTTTAGTACATTTACAAGTCCAAAAAAGAGAAGATAAACATAATACTAGGTACTGCTGTTTTGACGATATTTATCAATAGGACTTAGTCATCCTAGGAGGGAATTACATTGTTAATATTATCAGTAGAGACGAGTTTATATTCGATCGTTTACGATACGAGGAAAGTACCCTTACCATGCAATTTAATCAGTTAAGTACCTAAGTAATGTCATGTCAATACCTATAGATCGATTGATTATAACTACAACCTCGTGGTAGCGACTTTACCTGCACTATTGGGATAAATAGTAGCACGAGTTGTTTCACTTATTTCAAACTACCTATGGTAATTTTAATCCAGATCCGCCGTGCAGTTATATATAGCGTGACTGAGTTAAGGTTAAGAGATCACAAACATCAATTCATACTTTCGCATTTAATTATAATGAAGTATGTATTGGTATCGATATTCGATAGTGTAGTGTTGTTTGTGTATATTATGACGATTTAATAACATAAAAATTGAAGGCTCTCGACAGACGAACTGCATTTCAACTGCAAATTGCAGTTCGGATGCAGTCGTATCATGACTGCAATTGAACTGCAAACCAAACGTGCAGTCCGATTGCAGTTCTATTGCAGTCATGACCAAACGGTTGCAAACCAACCGAGGAGTTTGATTGCAGTTCTATTGCAGTCGTGTCAACTGCATTCAAAGTACATCCGAATTGAAATTTTCAGTTGAATTGCAATTGAAATGCGGTTCGTCTGTGTCGAGCCTGAGTATCTATAACTGTGATGATTTCAAAAACAATATTTTAATGTTCTTTAAATTCAAATGCTAAATGCATATAAGTTCGCATCGAAAGAATAGCTAGTAATTTGAATGACGTACGTAAATAAAAACTTTTATCAGACAATTTGTAATTAAACAAAGGTTTTGTGTTTTTATTTTAAATACACGTTATGTTATTCACTCATAAATAAGCTAAATAAATAACTACATAAATAATTCAATTATTCTCTAGCTACAAATTTAGTTTTTCATAAATGTTCTATTCCCGATTGGAGATAAAAACATAGGTAAAAAAATACAGAAAAAAATCGCTTACCGAATTCGTATCGTGGATAAAAGTGTAGCCATGGTGAAGTCAATCAAAACGATCAGTAAGGATCAAAGAACAACCAGATATGCACTGAGACCAAAAAACGATCGATTTCACTTTAAGAACACTATCCAAAAAATAAAATGGAACTGAATACGTATTCGTCACTTTATCAGAGAGCTATATAAAGGACATAGGTCCTTTAAATATCTTACGAAATTAAAAGTACTTATCTTCACTAAAACACAACCACAATCCACAGGTAACAGAAAAACTTCTGTCAAAATTTTATCCAAAGCCATTTATTTATTGATTCTCAGTTATCAGATTCGATAAGTCGGGGATTTTTTTTTCACTATAGTTAAGATACGTAAGATAATTTTTATTTCCGCAACGCACGGTAGCGACCGCTTCCGTCCACGTCTAGGTGGCTACTAAAACTAATTTACTAATGGTTGCTGCTAACTAAGTGACCATGTAGGTCGTTTCCTAATAACGTATACTGTTTTCCTATTATTGAGAATCCGTTATGACCGAGGTTTCGATGTAATTGTTTTCGTTTGAACTTAGAACTGACATGATACGTTTACCTATGAAGTCAGCAGCGTATGCGTGTCCTTCAATTATACGCTGACCAATTTATGACGTCACTAAACTGCACCGAATTGTTATTATTATTACTTGTGGCAATGGAAAATTATCTTACAAATTGGTATTATAAATGCGAAAGGTTGTGTGTATGTCTGTAACACATAAGCTACTTTTTGTCCCACTGGCACGCAGGCGGATCCACTGGCAGAACCTACATAATAATTATTTTTAATGGAATCAGACGGTACATAATCGGTGCCGCCCATAGGAGTTACAAATGCGTTACCAGTTATTAAATAAAAATGTTATTTTATTACTGCCTCATTGGCCGAGCGGTCGCAAGTGGGACTGCCTGGCAAAGGTTCTCGGGTTCGATTCCCGGGTCGGGCAAAGTATTACTGGGTTTAAAAAAAATCTGGTATTGTGCCCGGTATATGGCAATAGGCTCATCCCCTATTACATGGTACTCATACCATAGTGAAAAGTGGGTGTTACGTTGTACAGTGCCATTAAGTGCCGTAACGTACACCTCTGCCTACCCCTTAGGGGATAAAAGGCGTGATGCTGTGTTATGTTGTTATTTTATTATTGCTCGAGGTAAAAGAAGGCGTACGTATTGGAATTATTACAGGACATTATAGATACATACCTAATACCAAGGTAAGTATAACATACATACTGTATAAATTGATAAAACGGCCACAGCATTTAATTAAAAAATAACCTAGTTTCTACTACTATCGTAGGAAAATTACAAATTGCCACCAGTTTCCTTCTAAATAGACTATAGATCACCTTCCACATAATTCGGTTTCAAAGACATTCATTGTTCACTTATAAAACACTTGTGCGCGGAATTTACTATGCGTAAGTGTAACAAAAACCTTGGGATTGCGTTTCCTTGGTAACTATTTTAACGAGTATAGTAAATTAAAAAATAAGATTATAAGATAAAGCAAAAGAAATTTTAATTTAGATTATCACACTTTCAATTTGCTGAACACTTGGGTGCTAAGCAGAGGGGTAACACACATGAGTCCCATGTCATAAGAGGCTAAACCTGTTGCTTATAGAGGGTTAACCTGTTGCCATATTATAATACCGATTGTATCCGATATATCGGATACAATCGGTAGCTGACACGGGAATCGAACCCAAAACAACTTGTTCAGTAATCACATACCTATGCGGCCAGTCGACTAACGAGGCCGACGGTTTTTAAATATGTACTAGAATAAAAATCTTTACAAAAAGCTTAACATAGAGAGGAGTGGAAGGAGGGTAGTGAGGCCTTTGCCCTGCAGTGGGACGATCATGGCCGAAAATAAATTAATAATAAATAAATCATAAAAATCAAGTGACTTACGATTGCGGTAGATTGTTCAAGTTAGCCGGTGGTGACTCGACGCGCGGGGTGTCGTTTGGTGGTGACGGTGAGAGTGCCGGTGATGACGTGCTGGATATGTTGCCCGCCTGTGCCTGCTGAGCTGCTTCCAAGCTCGCTGCATGCTGACACCGAGAGAAATACCTACACACACAAAAACAATGGTTATCCACAACATTCAAAAATGATTATAATATTTATTTGGCCTTAAACATGGTATAATTACGGTATAATATATGTTATTCATAGTGAGTGACATTTATCTATGCTATGTGTTTGTAAGAACACAATAAAAAAGATAAATATCCGACCTTTATTTATCAGATGTAATGACAGTCTTGGGTTGCATCATAATTGTAGAATAATAAGTCATGATGCCAAAAGTGAAATAGTTATTGGTTTTCAATCGCCATTTTGGATACAAACTAAATGAAAATTGTAATCTTGCGTGTTATTTCTATTTGCATCAGTTATTTTTAGCACCGAATTATCAAATGATAAGTAGGTATGATAAGAAATATAAACAAGACATGAAATTATTAAAAAATCTTTTATACCAACTATTTTATGCCTTTAACAACATATTATTATTTTAATATTATTTCTTACATTCGGTGCACTTCCAGAGGTGTGGCGGAGGTAAAGTGGTTGTAACGGGACAACTCTCCTCCACACCAGGCACAACGGAGACGACCCTCGCCGGCGTGATAGAAGCCAGCATTGACGAGCGATTGGCGGGAAACTGACGAATCCTGAATAAACATTATTTCATTTAAATCTCTACTTTATACATAATAATTTCATAACAGACACCACTTGGCACATTAACTATAAAGAAATGGTAGGTTTTATCTGTTAAAAAAAAAATACAACTTATGCCTATGTATAGCTGTGATAATAAATTTTGGTTTCAAATAATTAAAAATATTCTTTACAACATACCACTTCTTAGATCTATAAACAAGTATAGACTATAAAATAAAATGAACATTTAAAAAAGCATTGTCAAGCAGACTGTGAAATTGGAACTAGTTATCATTATTTTCTTTCAGTGCTTTTATGAACATTTTATAGTTAAGTAGCTGTGCTATGACAGAATAAACAAATTATAATTTAATGCCAGATCTGAAAATTGCAAATCAATTTTACTATGATAAGTAATTACATTAATTACAAATAGATAGTAGAAGTACAATAAAACTAAAAGGTGCCAAAAATAAGTGCCCATTCATCATGGTATGATATTTCTTATCTCAGTAGTTCATATAAGACATTAAGAATGTTTTTTTTATTATTATAGGACACAGTAAATTTTGAAGTAATGAAACAATTTATATTTTGTCTACCTAATGTTAATTTTGAACAGATTACAAATAAATGAAAATGTTGTCTTTAGTTTTGTAAGAAACTTTGCTAAAACAAGCACTTTATTGTGACCTTGACAATGATATTCAATTTAACATTCAATACAAGTGACATAGAACAACATCTTTAACTGAAATTATATGTCTATTATTGACACAAAGATAATAGAATATGTATATTTTGTGCCAATCTTACTATACTCTTGGCATATAATAATGAAGTTTGATTACTCGGAGATTAAGATAGTAAAAACATTAAAATATAGGTACAACCTAAGTACAAAAAGACAAATTATATTCTTACATCCCAATTAATAAAAGATAGAAGTCGTAAAGCATCATTCTTATAAGTTTCGTCTTCTTCTGTTAGTCCATAATCAGGTGCAGTGTAAGTATGATCATTTTGCACATCATCAGAAGGCACTGATGGTGTACGCGTGAGTGATGGAGGACATTCTGGCCCTAGGACTAAGGGCACATTCCCTGAGAGTTCAGGATGCGTCACGAATACGCAAGTTGGTTGCAATTGACGATGCCTCCACATCACCTGGTCTCCATAATTCCACTGGGATATCTTACTACTACAACAAAAGCACTTCACTTCTGTACCTTCGCCCGTATAGAAAAACCCTGCTTTAGCAATTCGTATAGGATCTACGGGTGCTGATGAAGGCCAATCGGTAAATGTATTAAGTCTATTTGTCTCATAATTCATTTTTTTATGTGAACACAACTGCACGGTTTGAAATGATAAACTAAAAGCTACAGGTACTTATGCAAACTTGATTCTTACTCTTACTGTGTGTTATATGTCTAGTGAAAGAAATGCAGAACTAAATAGCCTGATAATGATTATCTTATTGGAAACACCACAAAATAAATAACAATCTTTACGACGAATAAACACACGAATCAATAGTCGAACACAGATGAAAAATTTATTTTGTAAAATAGGTATGGGGAATTTTTAGTGTTGCGCCTAAATCGACTAATTTTATGACAGTGTCATAATTAAAAATGTTTGTTTGCATTGCACATGTGCATGGTCCTTTGCGCAATGGTCAAAATTATTATGTGTAATTAGATTCTGTCAGAAATTCTTCAGATAACATTCATAGGAAAAGCCAAGGAAATGGGAGTATAACATGTTTTAGTCGAATTTTTCTCACAAACTATATTGAGCCCAGAAACCTAACAAAATTGTATGCGATATTGACACTTAATACTGTTTGACAATTCACAAATTGTCACAAATTATCAGGATAAATAATCTCCGCCGGACGTCTAAGGTTATAAAAAGTGCTTGAAATTTTTGTACAGTTAATAATATCATCACCTTTTTGTATTTTGCATTGAATAAAAGTTTTCAAGTTATAAGCATTGTTCCTTACCAGAACCATGTTCATATACATACTTCTGGTTGTACTCGTGTTGGGTGCCTTAGGGTTGGTGATACATTTTTCTTTAGATAAGAAAGTAATCTACAAAGATTTGAAGGATAAACATGTAGTTATAACCGGTGGTTCAAGCGGTATAGGAAAAGCAGCGGCAGTGGAGGCGGCAAGGCTTGGGGCTCACGTTACTGTTATTGGGCGTGACACCGGTAAACTTACTGCAGCTGTGGCGGAAATAACTGCGAGCTGTAGAGATCAAAAGAATCAGAAAGTTCAATACGTTGCACTAGACGTTACCTCTGATTACAAAGCCATAGAAAAATGTTTTGTATCTATAGAAGAGAAACTAGGCCCTATATTCATGTTAATCAACTGTGCTGGAATGTGTATCTGTGGTCAATTTGAAAAGACGGATCCCGATGTGATTAAACAGATGGTTGATCTCAATTATTTTGGTACTGCTTATCCAACACGCTGTGTTCTACAAGGGATGAAGAAAAGGAATGAGGGACTTATTGTATTTGTCAGTTCTGAAGCTGCATTAATTGGTAAGTTGGATTACTCTACTACTGAAAGTCCGAAATTTGACATAGTATCAAATACCTGTAAATATGAGACACTTGTTTTGTTATCATTCATCTGCATTGTTATTCAACAGTCTGTTATTAATACTTTCATTATATTATTCCAGGTATTTATGGCTACAGTGCTTACAGTGCTGGGAAATGGGCCGTGCGTGGTCTAGCTGAGTCTGTGATCATGGAGCTTGTGGGCACTAATGTAAGGTTGACCTTAGCCTTCCCACCAGACACTGATACTCCTGGCTTCAAGAATGAGGATCTTACTAAACCAGAGGAGACAAAACTGATATCAGGAACAGCGGGATTACATTCACCTGATGATGTCGGCAAGCAAATGATTCATGATGCTCTTGTAAGTTCTACAACCATTATTTTTTATACTAAAATGCAGGTTATCAATTTTTACTCTTCATTTATAGGCCTCAATCATTATTTCCTTTGAAGCTTAAATCTAAACTAAATACATCATTCCTGTGAATTTACTGATCTAGAAAAAAATGTGACAGTACCTATTTACTTATGAGGCAACATTATAATTCAATTTATTTTTATTTTACAGACTGGCAAGACTTACTCAGTGTATAGTGTCACTGGTACATTGCTGACACTTTTGTTTGGTGGTTCCCTAGAGAGTGGTATGCAAGTAGTTTTACAAGTATTGTCTCTGAGTGTTGTAAGAATTATTATGGTTGGAGTCCTACTATCTTTTTATAACATTGTTAGGGATGGACTCAAGAAAAAGAATGAGGTTAAAACTAAATAATGTTTATTATTTGAAACTTTGAAAATATGGGAATTTGTAATAGATCAATGACCTTGCTTGCAAGAACATCCAAACTGAACAATACAATTGTTGTAGATATTAAGTACATACTTATTATTTATATTTCTAGAAACTGTTATGTAATAAAACTTTATTTTTATGTATTTTTTATTTAAATGAGATTACACCAAAGTTTTAAGTGTCCCTGTTAATGTGTAGTTTTATGAATAATATTTTTAATTTTTGTTATTGCTGCCTATTTTTATCAGTAGTTATTAATGGTAAATATTATGTATAATTTTTAAAGTTTTAATTATATAATGTAAGTACTTATTCAATTTCTGCTAATTTTATTTGAGAAATGCAGTGTTCTTGCTGTCTCTTAAAACTAATTATGTATCATGTACAATTTGTTGTATGTGTTAATAATATTTTTATTGTATTTATTTTATTACATAAAACAGAAATTATTACATACTAAGTTTAAAAAAGAAATTGGTATTGGTACAAATTGGTTTTCGGAACCTAGACATAGACAACCAAGTTGTTGGCACTCTTTCCAACTAAACTATCAAATATCAAGATAATAATATGTTAATGGTTACTGGTTTTCATTTGTTTCTATTTTTGCGTATTTTAGGTATGTAATTAATTAATTTAACCTTGGCCTCATCATTTCATTAAGTTGTTATCTCTTATGCAATGACAAGAACAATTATTTCGTAAAACACTGCCTTATTGTTCTTGGATACTGTTACTGGCTGCCTAATTATTATGTTGAAATCTTTCATTTTTAAAATAACTACCAAGTACTAATGTAGGTAATGTGGACAGTATTTTTTACAGTTTATATTTTTGATACATTCCTCGCCTGTGTGAAAAGATAGCAGTATATTGATGTGTTCAATATTCATAATTTTCCTAAATATTTTTTTTAATTTAAACAGTCTTTATTTATTTTTTTGTGTAAGCTACCTTTTTTTTTATAAAATATATGCGTGGCCATAATTTCTAGTCTGTTTTATTCATAGATCTATCATAATACTTTATTGTTGTACCCATTATGTAGGTGCATAATTATGTACTAAGCATTACATGAATTCTGTTGATACATAAGTTTAAATCCGACACCAACGTATGATTCGTCTGAACGAAACCAGACAACAATAGGGCCAGCGCCATTGTCTGAAAAAAAAACAAAATTACTATAACACAAACATCATAAAAGTAGGTGTTCCGCAAGGCGTCACGTTGCAGTTTTTTGGTGAATATTTTATCAGAATAATATACTTAACTAGGCACCTACATTCATTAAAATAGCTATTCATTTTTAATTGCCTAGCATGTTTTATCTCAAAAACTTGTTTTACCACTAAAATAAACCCTGAACTTTTTGACAGGTCTGTGTGATATACAAAGGTACTTCAAACTTAATATTATTATGCCGCGACATAGAATATCGATCACATCGGGTAATCACGATTAGTCGCAAAAAGGTAGCACGGCGAGCAGCAACTCCTCTTAAAAGTACTCCATTGTTTGGAGATGGTAGGTACAGTCGCTCCGAAAAGTATGGGTGGACGTAAAGGCTTTACCTGTGACAGGGGCATTAACAGTGAAGTCTTGAAACACAGATCCATCATTGAGACGATCTCCACAGAGCCTGGTTGCAGCTATTAGCAGCCAATCGCTGGGACAATTCAGGATCTCCACTCCAGCTTGATCTGGCGGAATCACTGGCAGCCCATCTGTCAAAAAACACCTATGAATGACTGGGTCCCTATAACAATTTTCAAACTCGAAAACTGTAACACCTGACGCTTTTCGCTTGGGAATCAGTAATCACATTTATGACCTCGTCCAACTGGGTACTTTCCTTAATCAAAAATAAATTATTTCGACTGTTCAATACAATAAAATATTAAAAAATAATCACACTTTCAATAATTGATTTTATGACAAACTTAATTTTAGTATTTTTCCAGCAAATTTTTTTAGGAAGTATGCTGATTGACGCTAAAAAATCGTGACGTCACAATACACAATCTCGTACAAAATTCATAGAAAACCGTCGTTTATTAGTTGGCAAGTACCCAACCAGGTGGGTAGTGTAGATACATTGGTAGGTACCTGTTACATGTTCAATTAAGTAAATTAAGTTTGTCACTACCTGCACTATAGAGCAGGCTAGGTCATTCTCATTATGGTACCTAATGGGGATCCATTAAATGAACTTACCGGTGTCGTAGTTAACTATCTGCATGTTACCAGTGTTGGTGTACGTGACACTGCATGTTTCTGCTTTCCGCTCGATGCACATAGCGTAATTTAGATTGTTCTGAAATGCAAATGCGTATAAGTATTTAGTTCATTCAGTGTAGCAATTAGCTAGATTTCATTATATCGACTTAGGTATTACATTATCGATAAGTAAGTACAGAAACGTGTACCTAATTTAAACAAAAAATTAAGGCGTGTTGGTGCTTGATATTGTTGTTAGTACCTATTACAGTAACATAACATAACATTACATAACATAATATCACGCCTTTTATCCTTGAAGGGGTAGGCAGAGGTGCAAGTTATACCACTGTACAATGTAACACCCACTTTTCACTATTTATGTTATGTATGAGTCCCATGTTATAGGGGGTGAGCCTATTGCCATATATCGGGCACAGTTCCAGACTCCGTGCTACGACTGAGAATTTTTTAAAAACTCAGTAATACTTTGCCCGACCCGGGAATCGAACCCGAAACCCCTTACCCGGCAGTCGCAATTGCGACCACTCGGCCAACGAGGCAGTCATTTACTACAGTAAGTATTTATTACAGTAAGTAAGTACACATATACGACTGCACGATTCGCAGCAACTGCTGTGCAGCAGCATGCCACAGGTAACTGAATCCCGCGGCACTGAACTATTCATTGTGTGATCCACAAACTATTCCTCCAGATGTGATGCTTATGCAGAGTTATGATTTTGTTGATGCAATATTTTTTAACCAAAATAAAAAGAAGAATTGTTAAATCATCAACATCGACATCCTGTAAGTGGCCACTGCTGACTAAAGGCCTCTTCTCACACGGAGAAGGTTTAAGCATTAATCGCGACACTTGCTGAATGTGGCTTGGCAATTTGAAACTAATTATATATAATTAGAAATCATAAGCTTAGGTTCCCTCACGATGTTTTCCTTCACCGTTTGTCTGTGGTGTTTAACCACGACACGAATTGTTAAATAATATCCGTCTTAATATTTCTGTGAATAATACCTACTAAGTAATTTGGAGTCCTTGCGATGACGATGTCAGATTTATCTCGATAGTTAAAGGATTCAAAGTAGCCTTGAGTATCTGTGTAGTATTGCAAACATCCAGTTGGAGCGGCCAGCTCATCTGATGGTGTTAGTTGTGTTACCTACAAATGAAGAAAGGAACATTAACGAGGTACCTATCAATAACATGATTAATGTTACCACACACCTCCGAACACACTGACACCATTCTTTCACAAACAGTGTCAGTTTTAATTATTGTTTATCTTTTATTTCTCGTTTATAGTTATTCTGGTTTTGTTTATACTTCTGTCTAACTTTGAATTTACTCGTATACCTAATATGTAAGTCATTATTAATTGTCAAGTCTCACGTGGTGCTATCATTCCATGAATATTGAGAGACCTGGCTCTTGTGATACAGGGATACCTAGTACAAGAGCCAGGGCTTCACTGTGTTAATTCTATGAAGCGCTAATAAACGTTTATTATTATTTAAAAAAAAAATGAAGCTATTGTTTGAGATAACGTAACATCAAACCATCTACGTCAAGAAATAAATAATTAAGTTAAATTCTTACCTTAATTGAAAACAGCCTGCTATCTGAAGAAACTGTTTGGAAGGTAAAATTAATAGGACCGTCCACTTCCCCCACTTCAATGTAAACTGAAACAGGAATTGCATTTAATCAATTGTCAAGTCTATAGAAAAACTACCAGTACCTATATAAAATCCTGACTTAAATCGAAGTGGTATTAGCGGTACTAGTAAAGTCGATTTCAATGTTGGATCCATCCATAGACTATGTTGAAGGTTGGACATCGTGTTTAAAAAAAGAAATTAAAAATCTGCACATTTACGTTACCGTGTTGACCAGAATTGATCCCGCAAAGAATCGGTATTACATTATTAACATTTTGTCCGGAAACAATGAACTGATCATCCTGACACGAACCATCTGTTGGTGGAAGGAGCTAAAACAACATAATTTACTTAGAACTCTGACACTTTAACACATATTTCTAGGTATTTCTAAATACAGTGAATAGTTATAATCCACCTCAAAATTATTAAAATCCAATCGTATCTGAGTAATATCTTCAGAGGCTTTATCCAATACAAAAGTACAAGACAGCCTGTCAGTACTTGGTGACGGAAAGTCAGGGTTAGTTAACCAGCCAGAGTCTGCATCTGAACGCCCATCACATAGGAATTGAGCTGAAACGTAAAAAAATTAAAATACATTTCAACTGAATTTCCACCTAAGCGGTACTGAGGTACCTACTGTGTAGAGAAATGTTACAGTAGATAAGTAACTAATGTGAACTTTGTATGAAGGGTGTATTAGGGTACCTATAAGGCATGATGTAGAATATTGGGTATATCCAATCAGGGGCTGACACCCTGAGCCTTGCTCTCAATCTCTCAATTGCAACCGCTAACTGAACGAAGCCGTTTAAAACTTTTAAGTAGCTGATTATTCACCAAATTAAGAAAATGGAGAAAAAGGCTGTATACTTACTCACGCAACAAGTTCCATAGCCATCTGCACAAGTCCCCATTGTAGAACCGCCAGAGTCAATGCACTCAGACTCTGGCAAACACGTACCTTCGAGACCACTACTGGATGTACAAGAAACATGATCAAATTCTACCACCTGGAAAACTTCCAGAAATCTTGTCTTAGCTTCCTGTTTCGTGTTTAACTGTTTCATTTGTCTCGGCCTAGCCACAGGACACCTCTTACGTATTTTTGTTCTTTTAGGGCGCAGTCTATTTAACACGTTCATATTCTCAACTGTATTGTTGTAATTTATTGATACGCTATCAGATTCCGAAGAACTATTACCACTTTTCATATTAAAAATTTGTGCGGAATAAAAATTGGTACGTCTATCGTTCGACTTTTTGGGATCGATTAACATTAGCGGCAAGAATGGATGTTCAATATTTTGGATATAGTTGGTTTGGAATTCCGGATTGGACGAATTGTGTTGGGTGTTTCTCCTGTCGATGATTGCCGCTGAGTACCATTTCTCTGCCTTGCTGGAGACAGTAACAATGCAAAATAGAAAAATGATTAACTTTAAGAAAAACATATTAGCACACAACTGATTGTGGAGACGAGGCACTAAGTAGAGAAGGCACTGAACTGAACTGCAGTAATGTTGGGTAGTGTGACGATGCAGTTGGCTTAGCCCGTGAGGACAGCGTGACGAATGTAATTATTGCCTAGAAATCGTTCTGGCTTGCTAATTTGCCCCATATACTGGATAACGGCATTATGTTAGTTGCTGCTAGTTATTCATGTGATTTATCAAAGTAGCCATAATGCGTTCACTAACTACTCCAAAATGCTTAGAGATTTTTAATGACAAATACCCCAGCCTCACTTAAGCTACGACGTCGATAGCCTACACATTCTCCCAATTAAACAGCAAGCTCCTGACTGACGACATCGACTAAGCTTGTAATATGTCTAACAACGTAACGTAGATAGATAATAGTTTGTGTTGACGGGTTTAGGTCACAGATCAGTTCGTAATGAATAAAAGACAAGGCGAGCCGCGCCCTGTCTAACAATCTAAATGTAACACGTGCTGATAATATGGAAATTGTCTTGTCTACCTAACGCTTGAATACCGGCCTTTCTCAAAGGGAGCTTTGGGATATTGGACTATCGACCGTCATGTGAAACGTCATAAGAAACGTTGATCGACCACTTGTACCTATGTATAAAAATAATATGATTAATACCTACCATAATTTTTCAAAGCTCAGCTGTTTTTTCTTTAATACAAACCATGGGTTTGACTTAATGTGGTCTATGTGTATCATAAAAGAAAGCAACTGATTAATAAGCATGACATGGTACTTGTTGTAGGTAGGCAGGTACTTGAGATAGGTCACCGACGCACTTGGCGACATAAGTTGACTTTACACTTGGGGGTGGTCTAGGGTAAGATAAGGTATACCTAATTGGTACCTATAAGCATATGGGTAGAAAGAAAGGACTAGTCTATTGCTCACCGAATTTCTAGAACAATCTGTCTCTATACCCAATACTTAATCTAATAATAGGTTGCACATACATACTTAGGTACCTAATAGGTTTAACTGGTCCAATATATAAAGGTGCTATTAATCCCATTACAAGTAATTCACCTATGTCACCTACGGATAAACTTGACGAACTTGGTCTAGATTATAATGGATAGATTATTGTTATTATGTGGTACATAGACATACCTACCCACTACCCGCTATCTAGGTTGTGTGTGCTACATTCATATAGTAGGGGGTGACGCAATACACACATCAAGTTTAGTGGCTATTGATCGTTTCAGACTTGCCTTAGAGAGACACCAATTTATTATTTAGAAAAGTATCATTATCAGAATCGTTAAATGTACTACATTATCTAATGATTTGCAAACCGATCATCTTATAGAAGGTAAGCATCATCTTCCCCTATACTTATTACTAGCTGTTGCCCGCGACTTCATCTGGATTGTGTCCGGAATTTATGCTTTTGAATTTTTATCAAGGGATATTCTACGGTAACGAATGTCATCAGAATTGATTAAGTACCTAGTATACGGCTCCTCCCTCGTAGATGATAGCGTGATATTATATGTTGTTCTATAAAATATAGATATAGAAAGAAGACAGATAGACAACTTACCTACATTACGTTACACTTACATTTAAAAGCAACTTAAAGTTAAAAATTAATCTATTATTTGTTGTTTGGCATTTGCAGATCTGTTTGCCAATCGGCAAAGGCCTCCTCCAACCTTTTCCATTCTGTCCTTATTTGAGCCACACTGTTCCACGTCACACCTGCCACCTCTTTGATGTCATCGTCCCATCGTTTCTGCGGTCTCCCTCTCTTCCTTTTCCCTTCCCTTGGGCACATCACTCACTATAGATACGATAGATTAACGTGAATTAGTATTATTTCTTTTAAAATCGTAGTCTTTTAGAGTAAAGATAATAGCATGGCTTACTCAAAAATAACATTTAAATATGCTTCATTACACAACACGCTGTCACAGAATGTGTAAGAGAAATAACGATTCACAGCTCCTCCCCCGTAGATGATAGTGTGATAATATGTAGTCTATATGTTGACCCGACTTGTTAGTAATATTCATGAAAAATTTGAAGTAAATTCATACAGTACTTTTTGAGATCATCCCGGACATACATACAGACAAACAGACAAAAAGGCCAAAAACCATATATTCGGTAATTTCGGTATCGATAGTATCTAAATCACGCCCCACGCATTCTTTTAAAAAAAAATTTGAATGTACAGTTTTGACTTTTCTACGATTCTATTACATAGATATGTTTATATACTCTTTGACATCGTCTATTGACATTATACATCAGCCCATTATCAACCCTACCTTTATTTTGTAAACCATTCTAGAGAAAATTGTTGCTTTCATTTAATATGGGTACCTAAGGTAGGCCTACGCCCACGCATAGGCGTAGACCTATGCCTCTACCGAACCATAAGTAAAAGAAACTTACTCCACATCCTGTGCTAATTGAATAGATATTTATTACTAAGGCCATTAATCTTGGGTAATTTGTAAGCATTTCTGCACATGACGTGATTGACCGGCTGTGTATATTGTCCTTGCGTGTCTATGTGTACGCGTGCAGCCACGCCTGTACGCGCGCTTTTTCCAAAGCTCTGCGGGCACGCATACAATGAATGCTGTCACAGATTATATTGCAAGTGCGTTATCACACATGTGTCCCTTCGTTCATACATGGAGAAATACTGGCCACTATATAAGGCCTACACACCCGCCCGATCAAACATATCGGTCTCAGCGTTGAGGGGTTGAACACTAAATATGCTTCTAAAAGTAAGTCTAGAGTTGTTATTTTTATTCTATGATTTGAATTTAGTAATTGAGTGTAATGTATACCTGCTTGATAGGTTAAGATATTTAGGAAAGGAATGCTTTCTGAATCCCTAATATACTTGATCCCTGTCTGAACTGCGCCAATCTGCTTGCCAGGCGTAGAGACTATTGTAAACCCCTATTTTGTAGAGGAAGCTCATCATCCAGCAGTGCTTTATTTCTTTGATGACTTTTCCCGCTCGGGTGAGGCGAGAGGGAGTGTCAGACTCTAACTGACTAAAACCCCCCCGTTCCTACTTCGAGTACTGTACTTCGAGCCGGAGCCCCGGTAACCCGTTAAGTCCTCCGCGACTGTCGAGTAGTGCACTGCCATACAAGCTGTTAATACATCATTATTATGTCAGCCACAAGACGTCCACTTTTGATGACGTTAATATAATAATGAGTTTAAACTAATATTTTTTTATTGTTTCCAGTTATTATTGTTGGTGTGCCTAGCAGCCTTGAGCAATGCTGGGCTTATTTCACCAGTGTACAACGCTCCTTACGCCTACGGTGGCTGGAACCCATACAGCTCGTACCCCGCTCAACCAGCGATAGCTTCACAGCATTCTAACATTTTGAGGTCACCTTTTAATCTTGGCCAGGTAACTATGTTATGAACTAAATATATTATGTATGTAAGAAGGTATATGGTCTCCTAGGCCCTAGGCAGTTCTAACAATTAAACTGAATGTCAGTAACTTACGAGAAACGACTGCCACCTGCCCATCCACCACGACATACAGGAGTAAATCTTTTGTGCCATATTTTTTACACCTTATTCGTGGAATGGGTTGTAATTTTAACTACTGTCCAAGAAATTCGTATAAAGAATACGACCAACAACTTTTGTTCTCCGAAGCACGAATATTGCACATTTTTGAAATGCATTTTTTTTGCGCAAGGAATCATACTCGCGAGAAATGTGCGTCAGGCCTTCAAATAACAGTAATAACTAATAGTATGGGGGGTCCTACCGTGTCTAGACTGACCTAATGATTCCATCAGATGCCAAAATAATAAAATATTCTTTGTTGAAACAGGTATCAACATACTCGAAAGCAATTGACACTCCATTCTCGAGCGTCCGTAAATCTGATGTGCGTGTGAGCAACCCTGGTGTAGCCATTGCGCCTGCGTACACTCGCTTCGCATCACCACTGGTATCGCATGTCGGTGTCGCCGCCCCTGTGGCTAAAGTGAGTATAAACAAAACAAAATTATGGCATAATCTAGTCAGTAGTACCTAAATGTAAAGTCTATGTTAATTCATTAATAATACTTGTCATCAACCGCGGAATACGTCCCTTATAATCATTACAAGTGGCACTCGAAATGGAGTGACAAACAATTTGCTCTTCATATTCTATAAGGGGTAAGATAAAAATTACCTATCTGCAAACATGATGGCTTTCTAATAAGGTAATGTAGTACCTAAAGGATTACGTAATTTGAAACAATTAGATCCTGAGTTAGGTAAAATCCTTAATCTCGCATTGAGAAATGAAGACAAATGTTATTAAAGAACTATAAATTAATGTTATTAAATGTTGTTAAAGAACTACAAAAATAAAAATATCTTTATTTTTGAAGGTTGCTACAACGGCTGGTCTTCTTGGAGTGGCCTACTCTGCGGCGCCCACCGTGTCTCACATGACTTACACTAATGGACTTGGCCTCGCCTACGGCTGGTAAAGAAACACAAGTTAATATTGCTAAATGTTACTTATATTTAAAGTTGTAAAATAAAAGCATAGAATGATTCCTCTTAGCTTGTTACCAGTTAGTTGTTAACATAATTTATTTAAAATATACTTATTACTAAAAATATTCTTTTTATTTACCTACCTTTAAAACAAAGCCAGACATATATTTTAATTTACTTATAACACTTTTCTTTGTGTTTATACCCATAGTATGTAATAAGAAGTGGCGTCATGTTTATTATCATTATCTTACTCAAAAATAATTAATAACTGTTTAAAAAATCAATTTCTGAATTGCTTTTTTACTGTGGCTAAAAATACCAGTATTCTCAGCTCGACAGTTACCATTATGTCATGATACAGATGACGTATATGACGTCAAACGTCATTTCAATCAAATTAGTTTGTCAGTTTTGTTGTCGTAGACGTATATAGTTCTTTGCCATTTTCCACTTGCCAAGTAACTAATCACAATAAATAAAATAAAAATTACCTGTGTGTATAAATAAAGATACGAGACTACTCGTTTAATTAATTCAGTAATACCTCCGGCCTAGATAGTTACGCTTGTTTATTCACGTCCCGTTACTGTTGTGTGCACATGTATTATCTTTACAGCCAGTGATAGTGTAAACATACACTGGAGTAGATTGTCTGGTGGTTTAGTCGTAGTTTAGAAGAGCAAGGAATATGTCTGACAGCGGGGACAGCGATGTTGCGTGGACTTACTACAAAGATCGTCCGGAGTGGAATGATGTGACCCCAGTGCCGGAGGATGAAGGTCCTAACCTAGTCGTCGTCATCGCTCATTCAGAAAAATGTAAGTATACCAAGCAACTTGTTGTTCAAACAAGTATAACTTAGCTCACAATGACTGCTTACACATAACATACTGTTTGCATTATTCTACTGCATGCCACATCAGTTTATGTTTTAACCTTCAGTTTCGAAAGGACATTCAAGTCATAAAAACTTAATGACTCATGTAATTACCATAACTTGAATGTTTTTTAAACATCAATTTGATAATCTTTGTTGTTAATTGTTCTTGTGTACCTTTATTAAAACCTACTTCTTTTCTAATTTGAATTCTAAATCTCAATATGATGTTATGATGGAATATGATTCAATAATTATGAAATTTCATTTCAGTTGTTGATGTGTATGACTATTTCCGAGCCGTGCTCCAAAACAATGAGAAGTCTGAGAGAGCACTACACCTGACGAAAGATGCTGTAGAATTGAATCCAGCTAACTATACTGTATGGCAGTACAGGTAAGCACAAAGAAGTTTTAAAATATTCAAGCACCTTACTATAAAAAGAACTAAAATTGCAAAATTAGTAGAATAATGGACTATAAATTTATTTGGGCCTGGATGATCGCCAACCCAGTCAATTAGTTAGCACCAAAATAACTTGATCTTGTATCCCTGTTGATGTTATAATTACATAATGTACAGTTATATAAAGATTTATGATTGCAAGGTGCTGCATGTCATGGAGTTATTTGACATATAATTTAAGGCCAGGCGCTTATCAGCCTAGGTATATTGGTTAGTTATGGGTATTGCACATGTAATATGACATCACACTGCTTTTAGTAACCAAAGTTTTAAACTACTGTTTTTAAACAGTTCTATAAAGGCCCACTACTGCTATGCACTATTTAGAACTGCATTCCACCTCTAAGTGTTTGTTATCAAACAGACCAAAAAGACAGTAAAAGTAAAAAAAATTAACCAGCTAGGCTATAACTATCAATTCGAACTTCGGATGTGAGCTTGATTTCATCCATTGGTTGAGGTAACCACAAATCAGCTGCAACCAATAACATGGCGGACCACTATAGAGTTTATTTCTTCAAATTGACTATTACAGATTAGCTTAGCAAGTTTGCTTTCCTTATTTAACAATTTGCAAGATTACCTACTTTATCTAATGATATTGTACAGGAACACCCTTATTTTAATAGTGAGAAGTAATTTTGCAATCTAAATTATAATTCAAGTGGCAAAATCCTCTTTAATTGATGGGAATACAGTTTGTTTTAGTTAGTCTGTTATAATTAGGAGCTAAAATTGTAATATTTAAATCTTTTGTTTTATTGTTTCAGGAGGGACCTGCTCAAAGCTTTGGGGACAGATTTAAGATCTGAGTTGGATTATGTAGAGTTAGTAATTAAGAATTCTCCTAAGAACTATCAGGTAAATTGTTACCTTTATATCTTGTAGAATGTTGTCTCTATCTTTGCCTCTTCCCAGGCGAGATAGTGGCCAAATGTCAACCTATCATTTATAAAAAATATTGGGTTTGGTATGTCTTAAACAGATTTGGTTGAATGATACTTAGCTGCTAAGATTGATACCCTATTCCTGGAGGTTACAACCATCTGTAATGTCTGTCTTATATCATACTAGCGACCCTCCCCGGCTTCGCATGGGTGTAATATGCATGTATTATACATATAAACATTCCTTAGGAATCACTCATATTCGAAAAAACCGCATCAAAATCCGTTGCGTAGTTTTAAAGATCTAAGCATACATAGTGACAGACAGACGGCGGATAGCGACTTTGTTTTATACTATGTAGTGATGTTGACAACTCGAACCAAAGATTTAACACACTTGGCTGCTTGCTCAGGCAGGTTAATATTATTGTATAATACATAATAATAACACTCAAGATAAAAACAAAAATAGGTACCTCAATTTTGCAAAGGATCCCTTTAACTACACTAGAATGACTGTAATTCTTTCAATCAGGACATAAGTCTTACATTAGATAAATATAATGCCAACTCATTATGACTAAAGTACCTACTAGTGGTATAGTAAGTCATTGGCTTATCAAACAGCCAGGTATCGATCACTGCTGTATTATTTAAAAAGTATGTAAATGAATTTAGATTGCACGGTTGGCGAGGTGGCTGGGCAACTGGCTGCCGCGCAACGTGTCGCGGGTTCGATTCCCGCACGGAACAAGTCTTTGTGTGATCCACAGATTGTTGTTCCGGGTGTGGGTGTCATGTGTTTGTGAACTTGTATGTTTGTAAATGCACCCACGATACAGGAGAAAATCCTAGTGTGGGGCAATGTTTAAATAACAAAAAAAAAAAGAATAAGAAAGAATCCTCTCTGAGTACACTTTCTGAAAGATTCACATATTTCATATCTTTATTATTTGTGTTTAATACATATACATTCTACATAGGTCTGGCATCATCGGAGAGTACTGGTTGAGTGGCTTCAAGATCCAACCCAGGAGCTGGAGTTAACAGGAGATGCCTTGATGCAGGACCCTAAGAACTATCATGCGTGGCAGCATAGACAGTGGGCTATTAAAACTTTCGGGTATGTAGCACATTTTTTTTTTTTTTTTTGATGACGGGGGGAAACCTTCAAAAGGCGCCTAGCCTTTTTGGGGATAAAAGACTAGGGAGTGTGGGATTTTTACCTCACTAAAACCACCCCGGTGGCCACCCTCAACACCTGAATGGAGGCACCGGGTCCTCTATGAGAGACCTGCTCCGGCGCCTCCACGGTGCAACGCCTGTTACGACACATCCCTAGGGAGACGGGTGTCTCCTTTAAGCCTTGCTGTCTACGGCGGCACGTGACCACTGTGCCACCGTCTTCCCTGAGACCACAAGGTGGGCACCTAGAGTCCCCACTCTACGCACCCGTGGGTATGTAGCACCTAGTAGCTCTTGGTGCATAGAACCCTATTTTGTTTGGCTAACAGAGACTTTACTAAAACATACGTGTTTAGAATATTGGTGGGTTGTTAAATTCAACCTTGTTGTTGGTCGTAGTGCTGTTACATTTGTGTCTAACAATTTAAACTTTATCAACCGTATAAATCACAACCATTGTAAATGTATCAAATGATTAAAAGACATGATTCCTACAAGGTCTTTTGTACTCTTAGTTAAACTAAAGTTCTAATCTTTTTACAGACTCTATGAAAAGGAAATGGATTTCGTAGATAACCTTATCACAGATGACGTGCGTAACAACTCAGCGTGGAACCAACGGTACTTTGTTGTTAACAACCACTTGGGCTGGTCCGACCTCAATGTACAAAGAGAAATCTGCTATACACTGGAAAAAATTAAATTCATCAAGAACAACGAAAGTGCTTGGAATTACCTTAAAGGAGTGTTAATACATGACAAGAGAGGATTAAGCGGGAACGCCGTAGTCACGTCTTTTTGTGAAGAACTTTACAAGAACAAGTGTCGGTCTCCTTATTTGTTAGCCTTCATTATAGATATTTGTGACGAAGCGATTAAAAAAGGCGAGACCAACTGTCTACATAACGCTACTAGAGCCGTAGAACTATGTCAAGCGTTGGGAACAAAGTATGACAAAATTCGTAGCAAATACTGGAATTACATGTGTGAGAAATTTAAAAAGGCTCAGCAAGAAGAAGAAAATAATAAAGACAAGGTGGAGAATATGGACGAGTGATTTTAAATTCAAAATATATATCTGTTGCCGATTTTATTACAAAATTTTATAAAACAAGTATGCTATGTTTTAAAGTATTATTGTCGTGGCTTGTTTGACTCTTTGTATTTGTACAAACCGTATGAAAGTGATGATAAAAACAGTAAAAGTATTAAAAACGAAAACACTCTTAACTTTCATTTCGTTTCATTTAACTATTTTATAAATTGTATTAAAAAAGCAGTGTACGTTTTATAAATTTCCCTTACTATCTACTTGTCGCGTTATGTAAGAAGCGTATTTTGTGTATTATAATTTGTACAGTGTTTCAACAAATACATATTAAAAGAGTTTTATATTCGACTTCAGTGTTTATTTTCTTTTTGGAGTAATGATTTTTAATGATTTCTCGCAGGGAGGTTTCTTCTTCGGCTCGTCATTTTTTTCTGGTTTTGGTGGATTATGTATATGCTGCATGCCCAAGTATTTAGGAATGTCGTTACTCAGGGCACGACCTGCTACTTCACAATTGCATAATCTGTTTGGGTTTAACAATGCTATCAGGTCCGATTGATCAGTCTCAACTCGTTCAGGGGGCGGTTCAGGTTGCGGAGGCTATAAAAAAAAATGTTTTATTAAATTTACTAAACTGCAGTCTGCCTCGTTGGCCGAGTGGTCGCAAGTGCGACTACCGGGCAGGGGGTCTCGGGTTCGATTTCCGGAAAGTATTACTGAGTTTAAAAGAACATCTCAGTGGTAGCACGGAGTCTGGAATTGTGCCTAGTATACGGCAATAGGCTCACCCCCTATTACATGGGACTTATAACTTAAAATAGTGAAAAGTGGGTGTTACATTGTACAGTGGCATGAAGTGCCGTAATGTGCACCTCTGCCTACCCCTTCGGAGATAAAAGGCGTGATGTTGTGTTGTGTTATAATTTATCTAGTACTAGCTTCTGATAGCGGCTTCACCCGCGTTCCTGTGGGATAAAAAGTGGGCTAGGTATGTATTACTCCAGATCATTCTCTCCTCTTTCAAATTTCAACCCGATCCCTTCAGCCTTTTTGACGTGAAAGAGTAACAAACACACACAAACATCGCAAACTTTCGCATGAAGTATTTCACCAGTAGGTAATGTAACATAACATAACATAACATAACATAACATAACATCACGCCTTTTTATCCTCGAAGGGGTAGGCAGAGGTGCACATTACGGCACTTAATGCCACTGTACAATGTAACACCCACTTTTCACTATTTATGTTATGAGTCCCATGTAATAGGGGGTGACCCTATTGCCATATATCGGGCACAATTCCAGACTCCGTGCTACTACTGAGATTTTTAAAAACCCAGTAATACTTTGCCCGACCCGGGAATCGAACCCGAGACCCCTTGCCCGGCAGTCGCACTTGCGACCACTCGGCCAACGAGGCAGTCCAGTAGGTAATGTATGAACAAATAACATCATCCAGCCAATAGCAAGCCTTTTTTAAGGGGGATCATCGAATTACTGCTCCCGCCTAGGTGAGGCCGGAGGGAGTGTCACTTACTGACTAAAAACCACCCCGTTCCTTCTCCTGCACGTCGAGCCGGAGCCCCGGTAACCCGTTAAGTTCTCCGCGGTGCCGTCTTCCTATCCATACGGATACCCGTAAGCCTATCACCCTAGGTGTTAAATAGAAAAGATGGGTACCTGTTCACAGGAATTGGTGCATTTTATATGATATTTTGACATTGTCGTAATTTACTATTTCTTCCTTCAAGTAGATTACAGATTCTAGGGCTGAAATAAACAGTATCAGTATCAGAAAGAATTAAGACAAACAGATACAACTTCTGTTTAAATTTAATTTTCTTTTGGTTTCCTTATCCTATTAGTCTATATATCTTCCAGCTACCTGCCAATAACAATCCTGTCAAAATCGGTCCAGCCATTTCAAAGATTAGCTAGTACAAACAGACAGACAGACAAAAATGGTAAAAAGCGTTATTTTGCTATATGTATCGTATTTATGCATGTAGGTATGTAGTAAATAGCGGTTATTTCAATATTACAAACAGACACTTTAATTTTATTTTTATCTGTACTTATAGATAGAATACTTTAGTTATTTCAAGTAATTCTAAGATGTTGCCTGTCTCGTTGGCCGAGTGGTCGCAAAGGCTACTGCCGGGCAAGGGGTCTCGGGTTCGATTCCGGGTCGGGCAGAGTATTATTGGGTTTTTTAAAATTTCTCAGTAACAGCACGGAGTCTGGAATTGTGCCCGGTTTATGGTAATAGGCGCACCCCCTATTATATGGGACTCATAACATAAATAGAGAAAAGTGGGTGTTACCTACATTGTACAATGGCACAATGTGCACCTCTGCCTACCCCTTCGGGGATAAAAGGCCTGATGTTATGTTATGTTATGTATGTGTAACATGTTCTAAGAAACTCTTCAAACTCAAGTAAGTACCTATGTTACCTATATTTTTCTTTCTTCAATTTTAATTTTGTTCGGTACTTGTAATCGTGGACTTGGAGCTGTTAGCTATTGACGTGCATCTGCTTGAGTCTTCTATATTGAGTTTAGGCATATCCGAACCAAATATACATGTTCTCTCAGTGACAGTGATCGCCAGCATGCTCAAAATATCAGGACAATTGGGGCATAAGCAGTGTTTGCAGTCGCAGAGCGGCTAAAATTTCATTGTAGGGTAAGTAGGTGAACTAAGATCTGAGTGAAACAACTAGATTTCGATATTTTTGTATGTAATGTGGTCAGCGTTTGGACACGGTCCTGGTAGGTAGGTAGTTAACCGATAATGCAGTCTACGCCGCCCCATAAGCAACCTATTTGCTCTGACCTTGAAGACACCCAGGTTAGACCCTCCGAGAAAAACAGACTCGCAAAGAATTCTAATCCTTAGCGGTTCACACAAGGAAAGTAGGTAAAAGTTTTGCTACAAGATGTTTATTTTTATTTTCATTAACCGATAGGTAAGTACTCACTGTCATAGTAAGAATAACATTAGGATTTTTTTCTTCATTTTTGGCATTGGTACATTTCGAATGGTATCTGGACATGTTACAAAATGACCAGTTTAATTGTAATTTATATATAATATTTAAAATTTATTCCATCTTGAACAATCTGTAATAGCCTATTGTAGAAATGATATGAATGCAATGAAAATGAATGATATTGAAATCTGTAACAAAATGACATTGTTCATCTTTTTTCTTCATGGCATGGTAAACGACAAAGAGACTCATAGAAAAGAAGTTCTAATAGACATATTGAGGGACGGTAACATTTCCTCACTCGATTTATATAACAATTGATTGCAATGATTATTTTAATCAGAAAATTCCATTAGCACTTGCCCGATGCTAGAGTTGAATCCGTGAAAGGTTGTACAGTAGCTGGTCACGCAGTTTCATTTTTTTTTACTATGGGAAAAATACTCTATGTATCGTCCTCCAATTGGGGAACAAGAGTGATATGTAGGATTCTCAACCGTGCATTGCATTTAGGTACATAGCATTACATAGTGGGTCCTATTTTGTACGTGGTTATCTACTTTGTTCCAATCACATGGTCCAAGTGTACTTACGTCTACCTACGTTTGAAACATGTTTGAAACTATTCCCAAGGACGTTGAAAAAAGTTAATTACCTATATTCATAGGTGGGTAACGTCTTTGGTAGGAAAGTAGTCAATGGCTTCAACTGACAGGTGTTAGATAGACAAAGAGCGCCGATGTCATAGAAACGCACCTCTCTCCGTGAGATTTCAAACTATATGGGGCATCCGACATCCTAACCTAGCGGTGGCTCCTCATGCTGCCATCAAAAGTCAAGAACTGAATAAAATGCAATAATCAATAAGTCTACAATGACTCCGGGTACTGACATGTGACCACACAATTTGTAATGGGACGAAACACGTTTGCCAATCTGAGAATGATGTGGCAAAATGTGGTATCCCAGAAGTATAGTACTGAGCCTTTAGAGCTGCGCTTATTGAAGCAGCGACTGGCAAATGTGTCATGTAAATGTAATAGAAATTACTCCAGAGGCTCGTATGAACCATCGTGTGACACGTTGCAGACGGCGCAGCACACGAAAGACCGTGGAACACAAGCTGAGCGTGTTATATCGTCAGATGCGAGGTCAACCTTCCCAGAAAAATACATCAAGGATGCTCTTTGTCCTACATGCAGCATGACCCTAAACCTTTTACGTGGAGGTACAGTCAAAGTTCTAAAAGACCAAGAATGTGAAACGACACCGTCAATGTTCTCTTCCGATAAATGTATTGGATATAAAGGTACCTTACTAACCAACTTCCTTCTCATCTGGTTCTTTTTCATAAATCTTATATTTATTTACCTTTTTTAATGTTTTTATAGACTCCGCGTGGGAACTTCCAGGAATTCTCAGTCCCACCCAGCGTAAGCGCTCGCATCCTGAAAGGGTGACTTTTCGCGACGTGCCATATAAACGCTGTATGGAAGTTAAAAGCAAACCTCTGAGTGGAAACGGCTGTGTTTGTTTAGATGATTTCATTGACTCTATTAGGCCACCCTTACCTACTTTAATCAGCGTAGGAAAGAAATAAGTAGTATATATTTTACAAACATGTTTTGTTGTTTTGTGGTTAATGCCAATACACAGATTCATTGAGCGTTGTAACCCTTGGATTCATTGGATGCGGATGTATGAGCAACATTTGCTACATTGACCCTAAATGGTTTAATCCTTTATAAGAAGGTACAATAAAAGGATATAAGAAAAAAAAACGTACCAATTACATTTCAAAATTTACTTATCATATCAGTAGTCGAATTTAGTGAAAAATTATTATAGTAGGTAGGTAGTTACCTAAGTAGGTTATCTCACTTACTTGCTCACATAAATTAAGTTACTTCTGCAGTTACTTAGTTAGCTTAAGTTAGCTTGTGATCTGGCCTAGGTGGTTATACCTACTTAAGTAAGTATAAGTGGGTAAGTAGGTGGGTATACGT